CTTCATAGCACTTACCACACCCTGCAATGATAATGTTGTTGGATGGTTTACTTGTATAACAGCTGGCTGTCCCCCTGCTAGACTGATCCAATGCCTATGCTACCCATTGCTTTATCGCTCTCCAAAGCCTAGCACAGCGCCTGGCACATAGTTGGTGCTCAACCAATGTGTGCTAAGTGAATAAGTGACCCAGGATCTGTTCTTGCCATTGGGGTGACCCAGAACAGATCATTCACATCCTGGTCCTTCGGTGTGGCAGAGTGCAGGGAGGCCTGCATCAGCATTCAGAGACCTCTTAGCAATCTGTGTCCATTTACACTAATGTGAACCAGCCCAGGGATCTGAGGCACATCCCTAACCTTCTCCAGCCTCAGCTTCCTACTCTGAAAACTGTGTGTGTGTGTGTGGGGAAATCTGAGCTTCTTGCGGTGTAATGAGGCACAAAAAGGTGTAAATACACCAAGGCCATCCGACAATACAACAGGGTCTCAGGTGCATGTCCTGATTGAAGTGCAGATTTACACACTCTCACTCCAAACCAAAGCCAGTAGCCCGTCATTCCCCAGCAGTGTGGAGATCAGGCGCCATCTAGTGGGCACATCGGGGAGAGCAGGCATTCTTTTCCCCTCTTGTCTGTTCCACTTAGAGTGGGACCTGCCCTGATGGTCTTCACTGGGGAGAGCTGGGCCTAAGAGCAGAAAGGCTGCCTAGGACGGAGGGGGGGGGGGGAAGGATGGGGAGAGGGGCAAGAGGGGAGTGGGTGTGCTTAGCCTCTTGCCCACCATCATAAAATGCTGATCCTGTACCCTTCAACCCCCCCCCCCCCCCCGCCCCCTTGGGCCCATCCCCCAACCTTCGAGCTCACCTCCCACCATTCCCTCCCCTCTGTCACAGAGAACTTCACAAATTATTCTGAATGACCCAAGTTTTCCTTTGACTCAAGACCTCCCCTCAGGCAGTTTTCTCAGCCTGAGAATTCTCCCCCACCTCTTCTCCCTGTCCTGGCTAAGCCCTACTCCCTCACTGGGCTTCTACTTAAATGGCCCCTGGCCAGGCTAGAGCTGCCCTCGGCTCCATAGCCCCCGGCCCTTATCCTACCATTGCTAAGTCTGTGCCACAAGCTCCACATTTCTTGCTAGTGTTCCTGTTAGACAAAGCCTTGGCAGGGGCCCTGAAATGCTCCCCTCCACATACTAAGTGTTGAGAGAGTCTGGGGCCCATTCACTTAGACTGCAGGCTGGTCACAGCCTGTGGAGGACAGACCTTGAGATATCCAGGAAGAATGCTGGGTGCTGCTTCATCTGCACCCTCCCCCCCCCCCCCACTCCAAGCCCCAGGGCCTACTCCGTGCAATTGGTTTCTGACTCCTGGCTGTGTGTCTAGGGTGAACTAACTCGCCCCTCTGGACCACAGCTTCTCCTCCCTACTCTCCCTTTTGCAGAACTTCCCTCCAAAGTGGGGAGAGGATGGATCCCACATGTAAATTAAAATATAGATTGTTGTGCCTGCTGGCATGGCTCAGTGCTTGAGAATCGACCTATGAACCAGGAGGTCATGGCTCAATTCCCAGTAAGGGCACATGCCTGGGTTGTGAGCTTGATTTCCCATGTGGGGCAATCAGAAAGCAGCTGATCAATGATTTTCTTTCTTCATTAATGTTTCTATCTCTCTCTCCCTTTCCGTTCCTCTCTGAAGTCAATTTAAAAGAAAAGAAAAATCACATGCTCTTATCTAATGATCTTGTCCCCAAGCCCATCTCAGCCAGTCACTCCTATGGTCAATAAGAATATGTTACATGAATGGATACACCATGAGAGGTGCCTGATCGGCGTGGCTCAGTGGTTGAGCATCGACCTCCGAACCAGGAGTACACGGTTCAATTCCCAGTCTTGGCACATGCCTGGTTTGCAGGCTCGATCCCAGTGGGGAGTGTGCAGGAGGCAGCCCATCAGTGATTCTCTCTCATCACTGATGTTTCTCTCTCTCTCCCTCTCCCTTCTCTGAAATCAATAAAAATATAATTTAAAAAACAACTATGAGAGGTGATTGTAAATACATTTCCTGTACTCACAGTGTTGACCGTGCGTGGGATGGGGTAGGATGGGGAAAACAGACAGGACAACAGGGAAGTAAGGCCCTGCAGGAAGTGGCTCCGCTGTTCCTCCAGCCTAACCTTCCAGCCCTCTCTCCTCACACACAGTACACCCATGCTACAGGCCATGTTTTCATTTCCCTGAACTCTCCAAGTGCCTTCCCCCTTCAGGACCTTTGCATTTATTATTTTTCCTGCCTGGACCATTATTTCCCCTTTCATTTAGCTAATTGCTATTCTGTTTTCAAGTCTTGGTTTAAATGCATTTCAGAGCTTAACACTGAGTAAGTAACCAGTAAAGATATATATACTGATTTTGCCTTCACATCTTCTTTGTTGCTCACAACATGATAAGGATGTTCCCACACATTCCTATCAGATTTCTATGCCAGTTAGGCACATTCCTGTAAGTAACTCTGGAAGTTTTGGCAAAGATTATAATGGCACACTGGCCTTGGATATAATAGCCATCTCCACCAAGTTTCTCCTAACCAGCTGTATCCCATACATCGAACTAAATAGGCCCTCTGTTGGTGTGGTACAGGAGGGAATGGATCTCAGCTACATATTTCTCAAATTCATCAGTCAGATGAACTTGAAACTCTCCTTGGACAGCCATTTGATGTCCCCCCCCAACTCCCTGACTCTGGATAACTTATTCATATTTTGCCCAGTACATAGTCCACCAAACTCTGATTGCCTGTTTTTTTAAATTGTTTTTAAATGTATTTTTTATGATTTCAGACAGAAAAGGAGAGGATGGGAGAGAGATAGAAACATCAATGAGAGAGAATCATTGAAGGCTACCTCCTGCACGCCCCCTCCTGGGGATGAGCCTGCAACCCCAGCATGTGCCATTGACCAGAATCCAACCTGGTATCCTTCATTCCGCAGGCCGACACTCTATCCACTGAGCCAAACCAGCTAGGGCTGTTTTTTAATTTTTAATTTTTAATTTATTGGAGTAACACTGTTTTTTTTTTTTAAATATATATATTTTATTGATTTTCCACAGAGGGGAAGGAAGAGGGATAAAGAGCTAGAAACATAGATGAGAGAGCAACATCGACCAGCTGCCTCCTGCACACCTTCTACTACTGAGGATGTGGCTGCAAACCAAGGTACATGCCCCTGACCGGAATCGAACCTGGGACCTTTCAGTCCGCAGACCGACGCTCTATCCACTGAGCTAAACCGGTTTCGGCAGTAACACTGTTATATAAAACAAAATAGATTTCAAGTATACAATTCTATAACATTATCTGCATACTGACTGTATCCTGCACTCACCATTCAAAGTCAAGTCTCTTTCTGCCACCATTTATTCCCTCTTTGCCCTCTCCCATCTCCCCCCACGCCCTTTTCCTCTGGCAATCACCAAACTTTTGCCTACTAGGGTTTTTTGTTTGTTTGCTTGCTTGTTTTTTGCTTAATCGCTTCATTGCCCGTTTTATTTTTGTTGTTCCCCTCCGCGCCACTGGGTGCGCTGCGCCTCCAGGCTGATCAGGCCTGGGGTTAGAACGGCGGAAGTCTTCTAGCCGCCCCGGCCGCCATCTTAAAACACAGGCCTGCCTCTCTCCGCAGATGTGGCTGCCTGGTGCAGTCTGAGGCCTCCCGCTGCCGGCTACACCCAACCTCTTACCTCCTCTGGAACTCCCTTAAGTAAACCGTCATTTCCAGGGCGAGTCTCTTAATCTCCTTGTGAACGCTAAAGGCGGTGTCTTCCGGGAGGCCTCGCCCGGTGACCTCAGACGTACACTTCCGGGGCGCTCACGTGACCTGTAGCCTCGCCCCCTCCCATCTCTCTTTCCGGTGGCGGAGTCTGGACGAGACACGCAGGTAAGAGGCCTGGGCAGGGACAATCCAGTGGCATCCTGTGGCAAGGGGGTCCCGCGGGGCCGGGGGCGCAGGGTTGGGGACTTTTCGCGGAAGCCGGGCCAGGTTTTGGGAGAGAAAAGTGCGGCCGGCCGACTCCAGACCCAGATTCTCTCCTCGTCTTGGCCTGGGAAGCGGAGGTCTTGCTTCAGAGAAGGAGCCGATGCAGTGGGGGTGCGTGCGGGGCCTGCTTGAATTTCAAAGTCTTGGCCTCGCATTATGATCACTTATACGTTTAAGCGCCCGCGCGGCGTGGTTGGGAGGGAGCGCGGATTCTAATCTGATGTGGGCTCCCGCCCTTACTCAGCCAGCTTCTTTTTTGGGCGGTCGCAGGCCAGGAGTCTCAACTCTTAACTTGTTAACTGTCTGGGAAATAGGAGTGATTGCGCTGATCCCACGGGGTTGTAGTGAAGTTTCCAGGAGGGAATGCAGGAAAAATGACCCTGGGATAGGTGTTTCTAAGTCGGGGTGATTGCTAAGTCGGGCACGTTGCAAGTTCTGGGCGCCCAGGGCAAGGCCTCTGAAAGCCAGAAATTGGGGTTAGGCACGCCAGTGAGCACCTGCCGTGCGCCTGTGAACCCTAAAAACATGTTGGGGGATGGGGGGAAGACCCAAGTTTTGTCAGGGCCTGTAGGGAGCGGTTGCATTGGGTGTTTTCCACTAAGAAGACGCACCTGGGAATTCTGGTTGCCAGAGTGTTAACAGCTGCGGAGGCCCACGCGCGTGCCCCGCGCTTCCCCGAGGTCCCTTGCAGGACTTTTGGTCCTGTTCACGTCCACGGAGACATCTGGTCTGCACCGATAGGCTAATGGGCCATTCATTTATTCCCACTTAGGCTACCTGGATAAGGATCAGTGTTGGCACTACATCCACAGTGCAGTTGCTGGACCAGTAAAAATACGATGGCACTTTTTCATGCATTAATTTTGCAAACCAAAAGAATAAATAAATGCTAGGAGCTTTTGGAACCCAGGGACATAATAGGGGAAAAGGGTTCTGTTAACTTGAGGACTCTCTGATTTTTCTTTCAGAAATGGCACCTCGCAAGGGGAAGGAAAAGAAGGAAGAACAGGTCATCAGCCTCGGACCTCAGGTGGCTGAAGGAGAAAATGTATTTGGTGTCTGCCACATCTTTGCATCCTTCAATGACACCTTTGTCCATGTCACTGATCTTTCTGGCAAGTGAGTACCTGGGTGGAGAGGTGCAGGACCCAACTAATAAATTAGCAAGGGGCTGGGGGAAAACATGACCCTCGAATTGGGTGGCAGTTTAAAGGGTTTCTTTAAATATTTTTTAAAAGAATGTTCAGATAAGGAAACTTGGTTAGTAATTTCCCAGGCACTGGAGTTAGAAAGGTGACGTTTGGTTTATGGCCTTACAGTGTGGTGATCATTGAATCCTCAGTCTCTGGGGACTTGGTAGAGACAGTGGTGGACTGAAAGGGAGCCCTGGGTACAGGTTCTGGCTGCCATTAGCACATTTTTGTGTGATTTGTGAAGTCACTCAAATTCTAAGTTTGGTTTCTGTGTGTGTAAAATGAGGTTAACAGTGTCCACCTCATAGAGTAATTGGGAGAATGAAGTGCAAAAGTAAGCAAACAGGGTATTATAGAGTTTAGCTATTGTGGGACTGCAGACTGCCCATGAGAGAACCCATCATAGCCTTCCCAAAGCCTAGCATGCATGACCTCCATCCTCTGCTATCCCCAGCTGTGGCACTCTTTGACTCATTAGGACATGATACACTCAGAGTCCTTATTGGATAAGAAAGAAATGACCCTGTGCTTTTTGTCCCCAGGGAGACCATCTGCCGTGTGACTGGTGGGATGAAGGTAAAGGCTGACAGAGATGAGTCCTCTCCATATGCTGCCATGTTGGCTGCCCAGGATGTAGCCCAGAGGTGCAAGGAGCTGGGCATCACCGCTCTTCACATCAAACTCCGGGCCACAGGAGGAAATAGGTAAGGCTGGGGCTGAGAGGTAAGCACCGGGCTTGGGGTTTGAGGCTTGGGTTTCTTTTGTGGCCATGTGTGTGCATAATTAATAATGGGATCCTGTGTACTGTGCACTCCCCCCTCCCAACTTTATTTATGAAGCGCTCACTGCATACCAGATTCTGTGTTCTAGTTATAGAGGAGGGTGATGGGAAAAAGTAAAGATGGTCTCTATCCTCTTGTGTGGCACATTCGCTGTTGCAGTCAGACTTTAAAAAACATGGAAGGGGTGTTTTTTTGTTTGTGGCAAGTGCTGGGAAGCAAAAAGGTGTTGGGGATGGGCTGTGGTAAAGTGTAAGTTAGGCTAAGACCTGAATGTGCCAGGAGTCAGTCCAGTGAAGAAAAGATGGGATAGTATTCCAGCTGCTAGAAAAAGGTCCTAAGATGGGAGTGAACTTGGCACATCTGAGGGATGTGGTGTGAGGTTATCAGAGAGGTTCTTCTGGGACTAGGAGTGGGGGGGATAAATAATGATAATGTCCAATAGGAATGGGTTTAGTTTTGGTTTTGGGTTTTTTGTTTGTTTGTTTGTTTGTTTGTTTGTTTTTTAATCAGAGAGGAAGGGAGAGGGAGATAGAAACATCAGTGATGAGAGAATCATTGATCAGCCGCCTTTTGTAGGCCTGCCCACTGGGTGTGGAGCCTGCAACCTGGGCATGTGCCCTTGATCGGAATCAACCCCAGACCTTTAGTCTGCAGGCCCATGCTCTATCCACCGAGCCAAACCAGCTTAAGGCGGGTTTGGTTTTTTTTAAAGATGATTTCTGTGTAGGCAACAGCCAGACAGGAAGTTATTAAACTGGTCCAGTGGAGAGATGATAGTGTCTTGGGTGGGTCGAGTAGCTGGAAATGAACAAATCACTGAAGAAGACAGTCTTCGAGTATGTGGCTAAAGGGAGCAGTACTTTAAACAGGCTGCAGGCAGAACAGGGTATAAACTGACCCAGCGGCCAAATCTGGCCTGCCGCTGTTTTTTATATGGTCTATGGACAGAATATTTTTTATGTTTTTGATACTTTTTTTTAGTATGTCACAAACCTGTAAGTGGCCCACTAAGTCTAAAATATTTACTGTGTCTGGTCCTTCAAGGAAAATTTGCAGGTGTCTGAACTAGAGGGTTATGAGATCTTAGAATCCTGAATGACTAGATCTTCGTTTCCTAGGACCAAGACTCCTGGACCAGGGGCCCAGTCAGCTCTAAGAGCTCTTGCCCGCTCGGGAATGAAGATCGGACGGATTGGTAAGCGCCCACCTGTAGCTAATGCTTGGATTTACTTTGAAGCATTGACTCCAGAAAGCATATGCTGTGCCCAGTGGGTATAGATAGGGCTTGGTATAATGACTATTGGCAGTTAGATATGTTAATGCAGAGTGAGAAGTGCTTGTGACAAATCTCTGAACTTCTGACTGACAGTGGCTGGTGGAACTAAGAGGAGAGGGATTATCCTTGTTTTTACAGTGTTCTCAAGGGGGTGGCTTGGCATTTGTGTGGGCTGCCTCCTGTGTGGTCCTTGCCTACACAGGCAGAACTTATTTTACTTCGCTTTATTATGCTTAACGGATGTGTTTTGTACAAATTAAAGGTTTTTGGCAACCTGCATTAATCAAGTATTTCAATGCCAATAGTCATCTGATGGTTAGTTTTTTAGCAATAATACAATTTTTAATTGAGGTATGTACGTCTTTTTTTAGACAGTGCTACTGTGCACTTACTGTATAAGTAAACATGGGGACTGGGAAAGCAAAAAAATTTGTGTGACTCACTTTATTGGAGTGGTCTGGAACTGAACCTGCAATATCTCCTGGGTATGCCTGTAACTATCAGTAGGACATACCAGTAATTGCGACAAACATGAAGGCAGAGGGCAGCAATTCCCGTGGTTTGAGGATCCCAGCAAGTTCCTACATTTGTGTAGCCATACGTGTTAGCCCTTCTGTATTGTTCTGTGCACTTGGTGGCAGGCAATGTGTACTGATTGCTCAGTCCAGCCTTCTCTTTAAAAATTTCCCCCGAATATTTTCAACCTTTTACCTATTGAAAAGGAGATAGTCTTCAGTAACACTGGCCTTGGTGTTAAAAACCTGGATTTTGTCGCCTGCTTCTGACAGCCTCTGCAAGTTGTGTACCCTTTCTGAGCCTCAGCTTCCCTTTCTGGAAAGTGAGTTAAAACCACTTCAGAAATTTTGAGGATGGGGCTGCCCCATGGCCATCTATTATGTACTGAGGACTCGGGGCAGCAGCAGAATCCACTACTGATCCATTACAGCACTGGCCCAGAGAGGCCTGGACTTCTTCCCATCCAGCTCGAGGCAACTATGTTTTCTCTTCCTTCCCCACAGAGGATGTCACTCCCATCCCCTCCGACAGCACCCGCAGAAAGGGGGGTCGCCGTGGTCGCCGTCTGTGAACAGGACTCCTCAAATTATTTTCTGTTAATAAATTGCCTTTGTGTCCGTTATTTCGACTCCAGTCTTCTCCTTCATATTGGGTCCACGCCTCAGGAAAGTTTAATTCCTTCCTCTATCCCTCTATCTGCATTTAACCAGGATGTGGGGCTGACTTGAGATCACAGGTGCAGTGCTAAATCAGCAGGTCAATACTGCCTCAGACAGGAACACAGGAGGGTTTGAGTCAGCCCCTTAATGGGACAGTGGGTGACCTGCGTTCTGCAGACTGGCTTCCTGGGAGGAGGCGCCTAAGGGGAGATGTCCGTGCTGCAGTTGAGTCTTTTGTACTCTGCTTAGGACATCATTACCTCAGTCACCTAAAGCAGATGAAGTCCTTGGAGACTGTTTAGAAGGTGGCGATCTTGGTTCCAAAAACAGCCCAATTCTTAAAGAACCAGAGCGGAGTGGAGACTGTTGAGCCAAGTGTAGCCTGAGCAGCAGGAGGAGCCTTCCAGACTGAGCCATATATAAACACGCGTGGGTGTAGACTCTCCCCGCATCCCCTCCCCTCCCCAACCTATGTGCAAAATTGGTAGCTTGCTCTATTGCATCTTGCGTTTTCTCACTTGGCAGATCTTGGAGATTGTTCCACATCAGTACATAAAGATCCAATCACTCCACAAATACACACCAAAGCTCTATTTTTATCGGCAATGAAAAAGATAAAAGTTTTGCTTTCCAGAAGAAGCTTGCATCCAGCTCCAAGGACCCAGTAGTGCCAGGTGGTACTGAGTGTTCTGCAAGGGATTGTCATAGGGCCCTGTGATGGTGATTGTTAAACCGAAGAGTTATTGGAACAGGTCGGGCATGACAATGTTTCCAAGGTTCATCAGGACCTCCTTTTTTTTTTTTTTTTTTTTGCTGAATAACATTCCATTGGACACACAAGTCACATTCTTTACAGCTCAACCCACTTGGAAGAGCCATGGTCTAGCCATTCCTCCTGTCAACTTACCTTCATGAACAAGTCAGCCTTTTTGTTGGATTTTCTAAATCTCAAAGGTGATTACTACCCAACGTATAAAGTGAACCCATGCTAAAGTGATTTTAGTAAATGAAGTTACAAATCTAAAAATTTCAAATAATACAGATACTCTCCTGGTAAGTGGAACTTACTTTTTCCTCTTGAGTGTGGGCTGCACTTAGTGACTCCTTTTCCAGAGAATAGAAGCTGGAAGAGGGAAGATGCGAACTCTGCTCTGGAGAGAGCTTAAAATTATTAAAGTTGACAGTACACAGTGGACAGTTTATCAATGACTGGGCAGCTTCCTGTGTACTGTGGTAAAGTTGACAGTATTATGCCCTAACTGGTTTGGCTCAGTGGATAGAGCATTGGCCTTCAGACTGAAAGGTCCCAGGTTCGATTCTGGTCAAAGGCATGTACCTTGGTTGCGGGCACATTCCCAGTGGGAGATATGCAGGAGGCAGCTGATCAATGTTTCTCATTGATGATTCTAACTTCCTCTCTAAAAAGGCAATAAAATATATTTAAATAAATAAATGGAACTATGTATATATTTTAAAAGTTGACAGTATTTGTGATAAGTCATGTTGATACCATAATGAAATGAGAATATTTCACCTCTGCAATATATCTGAAAACCCATAACCCAATTTGAGGACATTCTACAAAACTACTTCAATTGTCAAAAGTCATGAAAAATAAGTACAGCCGAAACCGGTTTGGCTCAATGGTACAGCGTCGGTCTGTGGACTGAAAGGTCCTGGGTTCGATTCCGGTCAAGGGCATGTACCTTGGTTGCGGGCACATCCTTGGTGGGGGGTGTGCAAGAGGCAGCTGGTATCGATGTTTCTCATCAACGTTTCTAGCTATCTCTCTCCCGCTCTAAAAAATAAAAATATATTAAAAAAAAAAAAAAAGTACAGAGAAGAGCACAAAGGAGCTTAGGAGATCTAATAACAGTAGATCCTGGACCAGAAAGAGGGCATTCATGTAAAGAAAAGTCTAGCCTTGGCCTGAGTGGCTCAGTTGGTGGGTACATCCCATGCAGAGGGTCAGGGCACATACCCACGTTGGGAGTTTGAGCCCCAGTAGGTGGTGTGCAGGAAGCAGCTGATTGATGTTTCTCATTTGAGGTACCTCTTAAAAAAAAGTCCTACATAATAAAGAGGGAAAATGCAAATTAACCATCATGGCCACAAAGGCGCCCACAGCTGAGGCAGAGTCTAACACGAGATGGCTGCACCCACAGCAGAGGCCAAGTTCCCGTAACAAGCCTTAAAGAGCAATCATCAGGGACCCCAGGCTGTGCTCCCTGACATGGTGGGGCTTGACGGGGGATTTCAGGCTGCCCCCTCTCCCCTACACCCCAGCATTGGGCTAGGGCACCTGAGGCCATGCCCCCTGCCCCAGTGCCAAGCTGGGGTGCCTGAGGCTGCACCACCCTGCCTGGCGGGGCTTGACACAGGACCTCAAGGTGTGCCCCCTGCCTAGCAGGGCTTGATGGGATTTCAGGCCATGTCCCCACCTGATGGGACTTGACGAGGGACCTCAAGTCTCACCCCCTGCCCTAGTGCTGGGCCAAAGGACCCAAGGGTGGGACTGGCCAGGTCTGGATCTAGCCCAAAGGTGGTGGTGGGGGAGACAGTGGCCGGGTCTGGGTCTCATGATTTTGAGGTGCACGTGGGTGGGCGGGGCCTTGACTCTGGGTCCCATGGTGTGCCCTAGACTGACAGGAGGAAGATTTTCATATACATTTTATTAATTTTCTTTCATATCTGACACTTCTATTATAGAGAAAGGGCAAAGAGCAATATTATTTCATCTAATTAATCCCCTTTTATTTACTTTTAAAATGTATTTTATTGATTTTTTACAGAGAGGAAGGAAGAGGGAAAGAGAATCAGAAACATTGATGAGAGAGAAACATTGATCAGCTGCCTCCTGCACACCTCCTACTGGGGATGTGCCTGCTACCAAGGTACATGCCCTTGACCAGAATCGAACCTGGGATCCTTTGGTCCGCAGGCCAACGCTCTTATCCACTGGGCCAAACTGGCCAGGGCATTAATCCCCTTTTAATGTGTACGAATTCCGTGCACCAAGCTACTTGTAATAAATAAAAATAGAAACATTTTTTAAAAGCATAAATAAGGACGAGTCCAGTTAGTAGTTTCTTGATTTTGACAGGAGTACATGGTAACAAGATGTTAACATTAGAGGAAAGTGGATGCGTGATATATAGAAACTCCACTTTTTGGTAAAATTAAAGTAGTCCTAAAATAAACAGGAAAAGAAATGCAGGTGCTTTCCTACTGTCAGCTGGTTTCTAAGGCAGGATGTGATGCCTTAGTTCCTCATCCTCGGACTTTTAACTTTGAGGCAAGTTAACTTGACCTCTTAGCCATTTAGTGAAAAATCGCATGATAATGGCTGCCTCATATGGTATTACCAGAATTAAATAAGATTAAAGTATTTAGCGCAGGGCCTGGCACTGGAGAAGCTGCTATTCTTACGCTTGTTCAGTTCTCATGCCAAGCAGCATGAATGACAGCTGGCTGGATCCTGGTGGGAAAATGCTGGTAGCTGCTGAAGCATTTTTTTTTATTTCCTGTGGTGGGACTTTGCAACTTGGCCTGCTGTTCCTTGGTAACCAAGGATGCAATTAGCCAGGTCTTTGAAAGCAGTTCCTCTCAGGGTTTTGTTTTCAAGATGAGCTAATTTCTGCAGCCAAGTTGGAATGTAGCAGCCTATTGGCCACTGATGCGGGCAAGGCAGAACTGAGCTGTTGGACACCTGAGATTGCAGACCATGGAATCCCAACTTTGGTAGGTGAACCTGATGCCACTGACTGTAACTGCAACCCAACCAGGTCCTGAGAGAGAGTCCCCAACTTCTGGCTCTTCTCTCTTACCTGAGCTATGACACGGAAGCCTGAGGATTTGCCTTTCTAACAAGTTCCTAGGTAGTGCTGATGTCTGGTCTGGAGGCCACACTTTGAGAATCACTGGACTTGTCTGTTTAGGTCACTGCTGCATCTTGGCACTGGTAACAGTGAATAAGTTATAGCGCTCTGTAAATATTTGTTGACTCAAATCTCAGGCATTTATTTTCATTGCTTTGAGGTAAGTACTGTTATCCACATTTTAGATATGGGGAAATAGTGTCAGCAAAGGTAAGTGACTTGTCCTGGGATACCTAGCTAGAAAAAGGCAGAGCTGAGATTCATACCTGCGTTTGTCTGTACCACAGAGTATGCCTGTAATACCCCTGACAGGTAGGATGGAGTTCAGTGCAGTGAGGCTAGCAAGGGAGCAAAGGTGGACGATCAACCCTATTCTTGTGTCTCTGCAGAGGGTTGGGCAGTAGGGGGCAGCAGAGTGCTGCTCCTGAAGCTCGCCAGCTGCTGCAGAAGCTTGCTGCAGTTAGACCACCAGGTGGTGACAGGGTTCTGACAAAGCTCCTTCTTAGATGGCAGAGGCATCTGTTCTGCTATCATTACCTCTGAGGGCCTCAGTTTCCCCATCTATACAGAGAGGAAATTGTATCTCTCTTATTTCCAAAGAGCCCTTGCAGCTCAAATACCATCTAAAGAAGACAGATGGCCACTAAAATCTAAATGCCCCAAATCAAATATAATGTGTAATTTCAAATTTTCTAGTAGCCATATTAATAAAAGTGAAATTATTATTAATATATTTTATTTAACCTAATATATTCAAAATATTTTAAACAATCAGTATGTTATTAAGATATTTTACATTTTTTTGTACTGTCTTTGAAGTCCAATGTGTATTTTATACCCTTCAACACATCTCAATTTGAACTAGCCATGTTTTAAGGCTTCAACTGCCACATCTGGCTAGTGGCTGCCATATTAAATAGCATAGCCCTAGAATATTAACAATTAATGGCAACCATTTATTGAGCTAGTTATTGAGCGTTTTATATTCATTTTTAATCCTCACAATACCCTGTGAAGTAGGCAAGATTATAGCC